AACTTTGTAACTTTGTGAGAAGTTGATTGTAAATTGATCGTCTTGATTTGTAAGACGGATCAACCTTTATACTTCAAACAAATACTAGTGGAACTTTGCAACTGGGCGAGGCCCCGTGGATTTTTCCCTCTTTCGGGTTTTCCACGTAAAAACCTTGGTGTTCACTTCTCTTTTCTGTTTGTGTGCTGAATACTCGTACAACGTTAGGGTACAACGCTAGGACGCAAATTTACAAACTCTACCGCCGCGTATATTCTAGCTCGCAACAATTATTATTATTATTATTATTTTTATTTACTTGCTTGATGTTATGGTGAAGGCTTGTGCTTGCCAAATAAAAAAAAAACTTAATTGTGATGAAATTTTAAACTTCTGTTGAACCAATTCATCCTTTTCTGTTTGTGTGCTGAATACTCGTACAACGCTAGGACGCAAATTTACAAACTCTACCGCCGCGTATATTGTAGCACGCAACAATTATTATTATTATTTTTATTTACTTGCTTGATGTTATGGCTTGTGCTTGTGCTTGTGCTTGTGCTTGTGCTTGCCAAATAAAAAAAAAAACTTAATTGTGATGAAATTTTGAACTCAGTTGAACCAATTCATCCAAAAGATCAATTTAGATCATTAAACGGCATGAATATTGTTCAGAATGGTCTGTTGTGCTAATCTTAACACTGGTTTTGAGTATCTTAAAGATCAAGTCTTGTGCTGCAGATTCTTTAGTGAGCTGGTCAGAAGAGAAATTATTTGGTGCGGAATCCGGACGTTGCACTGCGTCCTTGAAACATTAGAGGTCATTTGCGTTCTAAACATCACTTTTCTTCCTGCTGATGAGATTTTCCTCAGTTTTTTTTGTTTGTTATGTGGTTTAAGGTTTTCAGCGCCTTCTCATCTAAAGTCAGCCAAATCCAGTTGTTGGAAATCAAGGAGAATGATGTGCTGATTTCATTTCCCATTGAGGTAGATCAGTGGTTTCTGCAAGTTAGCTCATCCTTTTGTGAGATAAATTCTATATAGCTTAATTCCCTGCAGCATTTTCCTTCTTGCGAAGCCTCTATTCGCCAAAGAATCTGTGTGGAAAAGGTTCCATAGTTTCAGCTGTTGCAGAACATCTCCTCAGGGGCTATTTGGTAGCACTCAGGATTTGTTTTAAGTAGGATTTTGTAAATTCGTTAAATATGGATTTCAGAATTCCTGAGGGGCTTAAATCCTGAAAATTGTTTGGTAACATTCATGATAAATCCTATTAAATTTTGTGTGACTGTTTGCCTATAGAACAGATTTAATGAGCGGACTTTTCCTCTCTAGCCTATGAATTTCATAAATCCGACAAAAACAGGAGTTTGGAAATCTGGGATTTAGTACGAAAAGAAATTTTCCACTACGGCTGCTTTCATTTGCCGTGAGAGTTGGTTTTGCATTTTAGGCCGTTTGACTAGAGTTCACTCAAATCCGCCTCAAATCTTGCTATCAAACAGCCCCTTAACTTTCTTAATATTTCTTAATATATATATTTTTTTTCTTTTTAAATCTTGCTTCTCTTCCTTCTCCCAAGTGTCATCTAAGACAAATGATAACTTCTTGAACATAAGCTCAGACTTTAGACTCCCTTGAAATTCAAGAAGTGACTCTAAATGGGGCCTCTTATTTTTAAGGTTTAAGGGATTCCAACATTTTAAGGTTAAATTTTTAGTCCGTTTAAAAAAATATATATTACAAAGTTTATTTAGAAAATACCTAGAAAATTGTCAGAAATGAAATGTTTTAGTACGATTGAGATGGTTGTAACTTTTGATATAATTAGGTGTAAAATTATTGCGAAAAAATAATTTATGTATTCTAGTTGTAAAAAGCGATTTTTATAATAATTTGTTTAACAAATAATTATAATAAAAAAAAAAAAAAAAAATTAAAAAAGTTATCGGAAAAATAAAATAGTGAATAGGCTAATTTAGTTAAACTCATACGGACTACTTCGTCGGGCATCAACTTCGTAGATATTTTACCCACCCCGTTGTTGATCATATCCATCTGCATGCACAGTATCGTCCTTTCGCTTTCTTGTCTTTCTTTCCTGGTCGGCGCCGTGGAAGCCGAATGGTTTGTTGGTCCAATCAACCATGGAGAAGCTCATCAAGATTGGCTTTCAGTATCTGAAAGATGAAGTCTTCTTTTGTAGCTTCTCTAGCGAGCTGATTAGAAGATTTGTATTTTTTTTACTACTTTTCGATATAATTTTGTGCTCCGACCAACTTTCCGTCACCTTGTTGAATATTTTGCTTCTGATTTCGATGGGGGCGATGCTCTAATTTCAGTGTTTTTTTTTTTTGCTCTGAGACCGATCTTCAAGCTGCTTCATCATGGAGGTTTTTTGGGTTTTGGCCCTGTTGAATGTAGTTGGGCTTTTTGTTTCTTTGCATGTTCTTCTTTTGCCGCAGTCTGTTCAATGATTGTTTTTTTGGAAGATGTCGCTCTCTGGATGGAGACATTATTAGGAGCGGAGTGCGGACGTAGCTCCGGATGGCACACATGAATTTCCTTATCATAGGTTGATTATTTCCCTCGAGATCTACTATTTCTGTAGCTTGTAAAGATAGGGAAAAAAAAAGAGAAGCAAAAATAAGAAAACCTGATAGGAGTGACTATGCTATAATTTGTCTTGTCTTTTGTTTTTGTCTAAGTTCTTCCTAGAGCCTTAGGGCTGCCTAGGGTTTTGCTTTTCATCATCGGCATTTCTTCGTTGCTGCTTCGGCATGAAGTCGAGTTTAAGCTGTACTTCCCATTAGGTTTTGTCTTCATCTGCTCTCTTTCTAAGGAAGCTGACGTTTAGGGGCTGGGATTTAAGTGGGATTTACGCTAAATCCAGCCAAACGGTTTTTGTGCTCGCATTAAATACCGGCCATGGTTAAATCCCGGAATTAAGGATTTCCAGCTTAAATCCCGGATTTACTAAATCCCTCGGTTCGGCGGATTTGTGGGATTTGGCCGAAGAAGCGCGCGAAAGGTAGAAAGTTATATTCACAGCCAGCGAGCTCCCGTTGGTGCTTCCGATCAAAATGTTGTAACTTCCGATTCTAAAGGAAGGGAAAGTCGTCGAAGGAGGGAAGTCGAACAACCACTAAGGAGCCGAAGTTGTGCAATCTCTACACCTCCTGCAAAGCTGACTGAAAAGGAGGAGGAAATGTTGAGATTAGAGGGTTTGGAGGAGGATGGCTGTTTACAATTCCTCAAAGGCCCTACATTTGTTAATACGGAGAACCTAGATATTCTTCACAAATTAAGATCCATTGGCAAATGTATGGTTTTCTAAATTCTAGCTTAGATGAAAAGCATTGGATAAAAGTTTTAAGAGTTTTCTTTTTGGAAATATTTGTATAATTAGCCCAAAAGTCCCTCAACTTGTTGATTATATTACTCCAAATTTTATGGTGGTTGCAATGCTCCAAATTTTATAGTGGCGGCAATGCTCCAAATTTATACTTCTAATATTGGTGGTAATGGTTGTTATTGTTGGTTCATTGGATCTTTTTTTAATTATTTATTTTGTTGTGCAGAATGTTGGCCATTAAAAGAGAGCATAAATTTAAGTTAAAGTGTGGCAGAGATGAGGATACTCAGGTGGATGAGTGGCTTTACTCTTAGAGACAGAACACAAAACAAGCATGGACTAGAAAGGTTAGAGTAGCTCCAATGACAGGTAAGAGTAGAGAGAGTTGTTTTAGATGGCTTTGTCAAATAAAATGGCCTTTTGGGTCATAGATTTTGCTTATATTAAGAAAGGTAGAGATATACCTAAAAGGTTTTGGTTAGAAAATATTATAAATGATATTTTTTTTATTAGATTTAAATGAGAATTTGATTCTTAATATGACACAACGGAGAAAAAAAGGATTTTTGAAGCTGATCAGTGACCCCACATAGTGGGATAAAGGCTTGATGTTGTTGTTCAAAATGATCTTATCCCCTGTTCTTTTTTGCTGGTATACGGGCAATGATGTTATTTTGGAAGCCTGTTGCTCTCCCTTTGGATGGCACACTCTTGGTATCCCTATTCTGCTTCTCCCTTTCCCTTACAAGCAGTGTGCAACCGGGTAGAGCACCTCCACTTCATTTGGCTGGCTGGCCTCGGCTGTTGCCACATTTCTAATAGCCATTGCTACTACCTAATCATTTCTGAGCTCATTTTGCCTTTATATTTTACCATCCTTCACCTTTTTCAAATTGATCCCAACTTGAAGAGACTGGAGGAGATTGTGAAGAAACTTGATAAAGCTTCAGCTGATGTTGTTAATTTTCTTCATCTTTTAGAAATCACATATTACCGGCACTAATATGTACAGCAACATTTCTCTATCTATGTTGGACCTTGGTGGTATGCGTGAGACAATTCTCTTCTAAAATGTTTATTAGTGCCGGTACTATGTGATTTCTAAAAGATGGAGGTTGAGGAGGAAATGTTGAGATTAGAGGGCTTGGAGGAGGTTGACTATTTGCAAAGCCCCTAAGTGAGAGAAAAAGTGAGAGAAGCTCACAGTTGTCATCTACTAGGATCTGATACACTTTTAATTTTTTTTATAGATTGGTATGCGATTCAGTGGATATTGCTTGGTTCACCATCATGCTATTGATTGTATTGCTTATCTATAGGCAGGTTTCAACATGGCGTGCTTTATTCACCGGTGGCTATAACAGTACAGTAGTTTTCATGCAAGCCATGAAGTCCATACGATTGCCTACCTCATATATCCAGCCTGAATAATAACTTTGTTTTTATATCATAATTGATATTTATCTGATTTTTAAATAATTTGCAGGTTTGGATAAATTATTATGTCTAGTGTTTGTTCAATTTTTTTTTCTTTAAAATTGCCTATGCTGGTCCAAGCTAGGATGAAAAAATTGAGGAAAAGTTTATCAAAATAAATTTAGGCCCCCATGAAAATTTTTTTTGGCTCCGCCCCTAGTAGGGAGCCTAGATATTCATCACAAATTAAGATCCACTGGAAAAAAAGCTCATGGATGGTGTTCTAAATTCTAGGTTTAGATGAAAAGCATTGGATAAGCATTTTAAAAGAGTTTTTTCCCTATTGGAAATATTTGTCTACTCAGCCCATCACTCCCTTAACTTGTTGTATATGTTGCTTATAATTCCAGTGGTGGCGATGCTCCATGTTTATAGTTCTAATTTTGATTGTTATGGTTGTTGTTGTGGGTTCATCAGATTTTTTTTCTCAATGGGAATGATCTTCCCTTCTGTTCTTCTTTGCCGGTATCTGGGCAATGTTGATATTTTGAAAACCTTTTGCTCTCCCTTTGGTTGGCACACTTGGTGTCCCTATTTTATGTGGCCTTTAACATCACCGTGCAACCGGGTAGAGCACCTCCGCTTCATTTGGCTTGATAACCTCTGCAAGAGCCTGATCATTTCTGAGCCCATTTTGCCTTTGTCTTATACTACTCTCGATATTTTTTTGAGTTGATCCCAACTTGAATAGACAGGAGGGGGTTGTGAAGAAACTTGACAAAGTTTCAGCTGATGTTGTTTGGTTCCTTCATCTTTTAGAAAGCACATACCAGGAGCGCCAATGTAAGTTGTGCAAAAGATGTGAAACAAGTTCTCTGCCTAAAAATGATAAGATTGGTTGAGGCAAGCAGGAGTTTGTTATTATGTGGTTGAGACTATTATGTGTGGAATTTGATTGTTTTGATAAATTGGGTTGTTCTGTTGCCTCGGACCTTAAGTTTGTCGTGCTTGCTAAAGCGGTGTGGGGGGTTTATATGCGTTCTTATCTTCTTAGTCTTTCTTGTTTCTACCAACTTCATGGTTGTATGGGTTTCATTTTCTCAAGTTTTGGATCAAATAACTCGAGCCTTTGGGAAAGAATGAAAGGAAAGTTATTTTTTTAGACGGTGCTCTTTTAGCAATGATGTTATTATTATTATTATTATTTTTGGAAGCATGTTGCTCTACCCCTTGGATGGCACAGTGTCCTTTCTCTGCCCTCCCCTTATGGTCAGTGTGTAACCGGGGAGAGTGCCTTTGCTTCTTTCGGCTGGGCTGGCCATGCCCCTTGCCATATCCTTGATAGCCTTGATAGTAAATTCATGTGAAAGGCAATGGTTGTGTTTTTACATCACTAGAGGTGCAGCATATTAAGAAATTGGAAACATTGAAGAATTGGTTTCATGCAGTAGCAGCAGCAAACAACAGTAATTTTCTTACTTAACTGAACTCTACCTCAAAGACTGCCAAGAGTTGCAAGAGTTGCCCTCTTTGCATCCTAATCTTAAGAAATTGGATATTATAGTGATAACAAGGCATTAGCTACTGTTTTAGCATATCAAAATCATTTCTCCTTGAAACATTAGAGGTCATTTGCATTCTAAACATCACATATCTTCCTGCTGATGAGATTTTCCTCAGTTTTTTTAGTTTGTTGTGTTGTGGTTTAAAGTTTTCAGCACCTTCTCATCTAAAGGCAGGACTTTCCGTTGCCTGAAGTTGTTCTGTTTACTCATCCCCAATAGAGACAGCCGTCAAATGAACATCATACTCATTATCAGAACTATTATGGTCAGCAACATTTCTCTTCTTGCTATGTTGGGCCTTGGCGGATGGGGAAGACAACTCTTTTGCAACATTTCTATGAAGATAAAATGACAGGAATTTGATCGTAAATGTAGATTTGTTTTTCGAAAAACTTTATGGGAAAAAAGTCATTACAGTTACGTTGGAATCTCTTTAAAAAAATAGGCCTGTTTTGGAGTCACTTGATGCACTTCAAGGGAGTCGTAAGCATGATGTTATGTCCAATAATTTCTTATCCTGGATTACATTTGCACGTATCACAAAATCAAATAGGAAAATGTGATCCTCTCTTTTGCTTATAAAAGTTTGGGAAGTAAGATTTTTGTAACTCAGTGGGCAGGCAAGGAGAGAGGGGGCCTCAATGGGGATTTATTTTACTTTTAATTATTCATCATAGAAATCCAAAATTGGAGTGAGTTAAAAAGATTTCTTGATCTCTATTGCCAGTAAGGGTCATCGGTGCAGTTTTGAATTTAAGGTTTGATGAAAAGCATTGTATAGAAGTTTTAAACAATGGTTTTGGATGTGAAGAACTCGGTGAGAATGCCATATTGCTATTTTATGATTCTGTTATATATTATTACCAAAATATTTACAAAGTTGAAGGTAGGTCTGGTTGTTTTTGGAGCGGAATACTTAGTAAGAACTTGATGGAAGTGAAGGAAAAAGAATATGGAAGGCATTGCAATGATTTGACTTCTTCATGGTCTAATTTTCTAGTTGTATGTAGGGTGTGTAAATTCTATTTATAGACACCCTGTGTACAAGTTGTATGCAGGGTGTCTACAAATCATGTGGCTTCATTTCATTGGAGCCCAAATGCGAGCTGTCTGGATTCGGCACCTAATAATTTAACTTGAAGAAACCACTGCTCTAACTTATTTGAAAATGAAACTAACATTAATTTGCCTTGTTTGGATTTGGGAAGATTTCAAGCAAATTGTAGATCTCGAGTTTTGGAGGTGCTCGAGAATTTAAACCACATAACAATCTAAAGAAATTGAGGATAAATGTTTACATGTGTGCCAGGTCTTCAATATTGTGCCTTCTTATAGCACTTTTTGAGAACATATACTATATCTAGAATTTCTTGAGAATCTAGATTATCTGCGTTCTTACTTTTTTAGCCTTTCTTCTTTCTACAAACTTCACGTTCATATTGGTCTCTTTTACTCAAGTTTTGGATTGAGGCTGCTAGATTTTTTTCTTCCTATGAGACTCATTATTACTCAAATGTTGGATCAAATAGAGGCCTGAGCGCTGCATCGCCGAACAATAGATCCAAGATATCTAAAACGTTTACTCTTGTTAATGTCTTAATCACCCAAAGTTACAATCCCCTCACTAGGTCTATTGCTACTAAAATTACACTCCATATATTGAGTTTTAGATGTAATCAAGCTTTATAATTCAAGTCTACCTTCAACCCCCTCTCTAGTTTTATCAACAAAAGTAATATCATCAAGAAAAAAAAAACATACACCAAGGTACATCCTCTTGTTAATATCTAGTGAGTACAGCCATTACTAAAGCAAAAAGATATGGTCTTAAGGTTGATCTTTGATGTAATCCAACCGAAATAGGAAAATACTTGGTCAAATCACCTTGTGTTTGAACACAAGTAATAGCTCTTGCATGCATATCTTTAATGACTTGAATATAAGCTTTATCAATTAAGAACTTGAAAAATCTGATAAGAGAAACTTTATGAATTTATCCTTAGAATGGTGTAACATTGTTGTATAAGTAAGAGGGAGGAGTCTAGAATCCCATGTTTTTTGGGAAATTTTCAGGAAAACAAAGTGGGAGGGAGGTTTGGTTGTTTTTGGAGCGGAATGCTTATTAAGAACTTGATGGAAGTGAAGGACAAAGAATATGGAAGGCACTGCAATGATTTTACTTCTTCAAGGTCTAATTTGCTAGTTGTATATAGGGTGTGGAAATTCTACTTACCCCGTGTACAAGTTGTATGCAGGGTGTGACAAACAATGGGGCTTTATTTGATTGGAGCCCAAAGGCGAGCTATGTCCGGATTCCACACCTAATAATTTCTCCTAAAAAGCTGGGTTAATTTGCAGAAACCCCCGCTCTAACTCATTTGAAAATGAAGCTAACATTAATTTGCAGCGTTTGGATTTGGGAAGATTTCAAGCACATTGTAGATCTC